AGTTCAAGACTAATCTTTCTTATTTAGACATCCACTCCCCAGCAAATGGGTGCTATAGTGTGATTTCAGTCTTATAACAAATAATCATTATTATACACACAGAAAAGATAATTACTTGGGCTTAGTTGGGAATTGAAGAAAATGCCCTAATTGAGAGACATCAAAGTAAAGCCAATCATCTTAGTAGCTGGGTTCACACCACAAACACAACCTCAGATTCACAAGGAATTTGAGATTCATTATCTGCTGGCATCAGTTCAAGACGGCAGCATTTTTAGACACTTGTTAATATAACCAAAAAGACGTCTTTTTACATCTCAGTGAGAGGTGATCACAATATATTTGGCTACTGCCTACAAAAGAATAAAGCAGCTGAAGATCAGAGGCACTGAACAAGTCCTACTCATGTGTCACTGAGGTTAGCAATTTCCACTGAGGCCTTTCTATGCTTGGGAAAGGCTCTCATCCTTGTTTTTTCAAACAGGCAGATTGACAGGAGGAAAAAGAGGGAGGAGAATGTGATAGCCAAAGGTAACAAACCAAACTTCATTTGATCGAATTGCTAAGTACTTATTTCTTCCTGATTTAATGACATTATCATAAACAAACCATGTTCATTCATCCAGTTAGCTAACAGGCACAATAAGTGAAAACACACTACATGTGACAGGTGCCCAGGTAAGCGCTGAACTTACCAAGATGGCCCCTGCCCTTAAAATGTTCTCTGGAGAGCAGAGGATTCCTATAAACACGCTTCTCTCCCCAGCCAGGATGCATTCACCAGTCATGGACAGGCTGTGGAGGGAGAGGAAGCTCAGTGGCTACTTTGGGAAATGTCCTATCTTACCCTGGAGGATCAGAAGGCAACAACACACCAACCCACTTGGCCTCTGGGGTCTGCTTTCTCTGAACCCAGTAGGTTCTCAAAGACCTGAGTAAGTACAGGTGACCTTGTGTGTATATATACACACACACAAATATATATATATATACACGAGCACTGAAAAGCATGGTTCCAGAGCTGGCGCAGAGTGTCTGAGCTGGCAGTTAAAGTTATCACCTAAGCCAACTCTTCATGTTATAGCTGAAGCTCAGAGAGGCAAAATCATTGGTCAGACCCACACAGACGGAAGGGAAGAGCCAGGACTAGCAGCCAGGCCTTCTCATCTCAGCCAAGGGCTCCTTCCAGCATGCCACACTGACCCAGTGAAAATCAATATGTTGTCTGCAGAAGGAGGGGACCAGTCAACGTTTTTACTAACTAGTGCAGCATTGACTAACCAGTAGAGAATGTCAGGCTGTACATGGTACTGGTGCCCATGGCTATCAGCCAGGACTGGTTCTACACCTACAGCCACCAGGCAAGACTGGCAGTTCTTAACCTGATCAGGACAGCCATCACTGAAATCTGCCGACTGCTCCATTTCCCTGGAGACAAGGGTGGCGTGTCTACACTCAGCATCTCTCAATTCTATAAACAAAGAGACGACAGCGAGAGACACACAGAGACAGAGAGAGGTGGTATCAGCACTCAGATACCAGAGGACAGTCACATGGGAACACGATGACAAAAAGGCTGATTGCTGCTAATGTGCATTCATCTGTCAAAGGCGGTGTGATTAAAGGCATTATCCAAACCACAGCCCCGGCCCTGGCGTGGGTGGGGACAACAAGACAGGAGGCTCCCCTTTCACAAGCCTGGCATCAGAAGAATCAGATCTAGGAAAGATCTGTTAGATCACCTCTTTCCTGGGCCAGCTGGAGGGTGAACCCATACTGGAGATTACCAGGATAGAGTTTCAAAGCGAGTCACGAGGTCCCACGGACTCCCTGGAGAAGACGCTTCTCCAGCTCAGCTTTCATTTCCTTAGTGGAAGGAGGCTGGCCTGTCTGCCAGGTGACACCCCAGCATACAGTTTACACATTGTGTGATCTTGAGCAAAGCACTTAGACTCTCTAAGCTCAGTTTTTTCACATGCAGAGTGGGGATGACACTGCACCTGGTACATGACTCATGGGAGACACAGAGAGATGGGAAGTAAGATTGCCCCCTAAGGGCAAAACTATGAACTCACCCCATAATGTTTCAGATCAGAGGGGTACTTGGTTACCTGAAAGGGACAGAATAGACTCCAGGACAGCAGGCCTTGAAATATAACCCAATTGAAAGGAAACAAAGATTATGTTGGTCAGAAGTAGATTGGGGAGCTGGGGAGATGCTGGGATTGTCAGCCATGGAAGAACAGAGAGAAGTCAGAGAGGCAAGGAGGCAAACCCTGGCAGAGTGTCCAACAGACTCCAGGAAGAGCATGTGCCCAACAAGGGCACTATGAACATCCTGTGGACCCGTTTATTGTGGAGCCAGAGGCCAGGAAACATTTCTGTCACACAGTTAGCTGACTTGCTCCATTTCTGTGCTCATGGAACAACCTTCTAATAATCTGCCTTCTCACATCACTTGTCTCCGATAGAAGAAAATGCGCTTGTCACGCTAAAGTGAGGATCTGGTCTGGGACACCGTTTCATGTCTCAAAGTGAATTAAAAAACTGGCAGTTTAGTTATACATCAGGCTCTTCTGAGCTTTGTCAGTGTGAGTTAGCATCCTAAGGTTCACAACTTCGAAATTGATGAGTCTGAATTTCCGACTCTGAAAAGCTGACAGCTCAGCCCCTGGCGAGGGAGAGTTCAGTGATGACACTGTCTGCGTGGCTGTTTCCGGAGGTGACTGAGTGCCATGAATGCTGACCAAGGGAAATATCCACAAGACTTCCCTAGTAGGACTGATGAAGGGATGGGTAATAATAGATGTCAAAGCATCTCGTAACCTGGAAAATGCCCACAAATCATGACTATTATTTTATCAGGTGGTACATGAGGGCACTGAGCTACCAGTCCCCCCTCACAGGAAGGGCTGAGTAAAGCTATCTGACACATGTGACGAAAGCCAAGCTGGATTCATCCTGGCTCCCTGAATCATGAGCTTGGGTTGCATTGGCCCTCTTTTTTTTCTTCCTCTAAGGATATCTCTTGCTTTTAAATTCATTGTCATCATCCATAATTTCTTTAACTGGGGCTCAGCGACTTCACCTACGTGACAGGCCTCAGCTTGCTTCAGCAGCTCTCCTGCTCAGGAACTCCTGAGAGGACAATATGCTAAAGACTGTCCCATGGCTAACCACTGTGTGCATGTGAGGCAGGGGGAGGGCAGAAAAGATACCCCGGGGTAAGAACAAGATGGGGCCTATGGTTCCCACAGTGGAGGTTTATAAAGTCAAAGATACTTAATAAGCTATTACAAATTCCCTACAATGTGAATTTTGAAAGAGTTAGTTCTTTATAAACAGTATATCAATATTCTATTTTATTCCTACATACTTCCAACATCATAGCCATAAAATACTTTCTAGACCACTCCTAAATATTTTTAGGGAATGAAAGAGAACAAGTTTTGGTTTAATATACAGGAGACCTCTGTAAATGTCCAGCTGTCCAGAGGAAAAATGGGCTACCTCAGGAAGCAGTTAAGTCTCTATCACTGGAGGTGTCCCATCATGCATTGGGCAATGTCTTTCACAAGGAAGATGTAGAGAAGATTTAAATCCTTGGATTGGCAAGACGACTACCCTTCTTCAATATCCCTCTCAACCACCTGATTCTCTAAGTTTACGTTGCCTACTACTATGTATTTGTCTTTATATTCCAGAACCCCCAGACTCAAGGTCTGCCTTGAGTACCATTTGAATTAAGAGCATCTTAGGTTTGGAACCAAAGGCAGCTCAAGAGGTCTATATATTACTACGTGATGGAGCTACCATCAATAAGTACAAAACAAAGTGACCGTAAATAAAAACAAAGGCATCTGCAGAATCAAGAAACAGAAAAAAAAATATTTTCCTTGTATATCCTCAATCAACCAAGCCCTTTTCCATTTCTTTTTGGAAACATACCCTCTCCCCTCTGCCCATTATGCAAATCTAGCTTTTCCCAGAGGTTAACATCATTCTCCCCCAACACATACAACTAACGCAAAACAGCCAAGTGTTTAAACAACATACGCTCATTTGCTTGTCTCACCCCAACTCAGAGGAATGCCCACCGTATAGATCAATACCTTCTTCCTCTTCCTCCCACTTTGGCCATGCCCCGGCCTTCCTGCACACTGAACAGCAGCAGTGCCTGGGTCTTGAGGGACTATTTAAATAGATGGGCTAGGGCTGGCCTGGTGGCGCAGCAGTTAAGTTCGCGCATTCAGTTTTGGCGGCCTGGAGTTCACCGGTTTGGATCCTGGACCTACTCACAGCTCATCAAGCCATGCTGAGGCGGCATCCCACACAGAAGAGCTACAACTCTACAACTATGATATACAACTATGTACCGGGGCTTTGGGGAGAAAAAAGGAAAAAGAGGAAGATTGGCAACAGATATTAGCACAGGGCCAATCTCTCTCAAAAAAATAAAAATAAAAAAAATAATAATTAAAAAAAATCAGATATCTAAAAAAAACTTTAAATAGATGGGCTATAACATGAGGACACAAGGACACACAATGGGGCTGGATGCCACCAGCTGGGAATGCTACCAGGTGGGAATGAGCATTATTCCTACAACAGATGGGACAGCTCTGAGAGAGTCTCCTCTCGTCCACTCCCCCACTGAATGGTGTTACTTGTCATCTCTTGAATTTGAAGTATTTCCCAAGATCAAGACTCAAAGGTAAAGGTATCAAAGTGGGGGAGGGGTTGAATACAAGGATGATAGGAGATGACCCTGTCACTCATAAGACACCAGGACTGATTGAGCCAATCAGCTGACTAGGCCATTGGCCCTGCCTCACTCTCTGTTCCAGCTGCAGCCTCTTCAATACTGTTGCTGGTCAAAGCAGACCACCTCACCAGATAAGGGAAGGATTCTGTCCGCAGAGTGGCCTAGAAGGTAAAGGTATCCTATGCCTACCTTCCTTGCTTCCCTTTTCACCAGTTTCGGGTTCAGAGCCACCTACCTTTTTCTTCTTCTTCAGAATCACTTTCACGCCATCCACTGAAACCATAATGCTCACTTTCTTCTTCTTGATATTCTTGGCTTTAAACTCATACTGCAAAGGAGAAGAGAACAAAGAAGCTCAATCCAATTAGATCAGTGCATCTGCACGGCCCCAGCTAGCTCATGACCTGGAAAAGAAGGCCACAGATGGGTCTAGGAAGCTGGTACAGTTCCTGGGGACATGGGGCACCCCAGGGGATGTAAGAGCAGGTGGATGTCTGCAGGGAGGGGCTCAGGCAACTTTGGGTTGGGACAGGGACTCTGAATGATCATCAGTTTCACCACTGAGCCATCAGGTAGGACCACAGGAATGGACCTAATCCATCCTAATGAGATAAAAAAACAAAGCCTACTTTGAAAATCTCATCAGAAATCTAGAACCTTCCCTCAGTAGCTCATTCTGCCATTTAACGACTTTCATCATCAGGCAGGTTTTCCTTGTGTCTACCCAAATGCTCCTCAAACTCTATTCCATCCTCAATAAAGATTAAGAAGAGCTGGCACCAGGGTTTGCATCAGAGTTTTTTAAACACTAAAAGATTATTATGAATTCTAAGTTATTCTCTACAAGTTCAGTTCCCAAATTCCTTTATCTGTAGGTCAGTCTCCAAGTTTACCCACAGTCCCATGAGCCTGAAGGTTTTGGGGACAGAGTATCCTAGAAAGAATCTGACCACTCATAGTTATAAGGGCGAGCATTACCTCACAACCACTATACTCTAAACTCCCATTTGCAATCCAGCTCACGGCTGCTTCAAGCACAGCCCTACATCCATCAGCTGGCCTCATCCTCGATCCCAGATATTTTTCTATTTGCTCATTCATAGCCATTTCTTATGCTTGTGAAGATATTCATAATGGGTGGTATAATTCTACATTTTCCTCACTGAACTTCTTTCTGAGCACTTATCCAATTTATTAAAACCATCTTCTGGTCCCCATCTTGGTCTCACCACCTAACAAACCTACCTGCTAAGCTCTCTAATCAAATATCTGGGCTACCGATTAAAAAATAATAATACAGGACCCAGAACCAAGACTCCAACCCAGGCCCTCTTCTCTGGGACCTTTCAAACTCAAGAGCCTCTCCCACCAAGCCACCACCCTTGCTTGGTAAGAGGCATCCAGCTCTTTGCCTGTACAACTAAAACCTAATTATTTCTAGTTAGTATGTTGATAGAAATAAACCTAACCCATCCTAACCTACTTTGAAAACTTCCTCAGAAATCCAGAACCTTCCCTTGGCCATGCCTTTTAATACTCTGATTTTAAGAACTCAACTTAGAGCTTCCTACTCTGTCTACATTCTGTGCCTTCCACTGAAATCTCAGCTAATCTTATTCTGTTGCAGAGTCAATGCTGATGCCTCTTGGCAGTCTGTTTCTTAGAGACAAGGACACGACCTAGCTAACTGAAGTAAAATATTTTTCTTTATATCATCAGGGCAGGCTCTGGTTTACAGTCGATCTGAGTTTCCAGGTGATGGCAACATACATCACTCCCAGCTTGGTGGTCACTTCGCCCACCCTCCCAATCACTCTACCCTGTCAACAGCTACCTGTTTCACCAAGGGGGCCTTAAAGAAGAGCAAACCAGAGCAGCAGACACACAGGAGAAAGAAGAAAATTCAACCTCAGACTCTGCTTCAGGGTGTGGGAACCCAAAGCCAATTAAGAGTAACAGAGTAAGGGAGAGCGAGCGCGTCTGACAGACGGGGAGGAGATGCACTGTTTGTACCGGAGTCTCGCTTAGGACAGGACCTCAGCCAAAGAACAGACTCCTCTCCCGGTCAGTGGCTGTGAGCTGGGGAAGGCTCGAGTTGTGTCTGACCGGCATGCACTTCAGGACACGCTGCAATCCGCAGTGTGTCCCCTGACTGCAGCATTCTACTCAGGGGAAGCGCTAGAAGAACTGAAATCACCCCCACAGCCCCCACCGAACCCCACCCCCCTCACGGAAGAGCTGGAATGAGAATCTGCAAGTCGGCCCACTTTGGCCTGGTGCCGACTGGGAGAGGTGAACCAGCCACACTTCCTGACCACACCTGCATTTTCCTCTGTTCACTGGGGCTTTCAGTAAACACAACCTTTCAGCTGTGCCTCCCTGGGGAACAAGTCAATAAACTCAGGGCTGCTCCTGCTAGTCAAAGGAGTGCAGAGGGGTGCGTTTTGATGAACTCAGGCGGGAAATAAGAGCATAAGAATCCCAGAAACACCCAGAGGTGGGCAAAATCTGCCCTCAGCAGGTCGATCCTCAACTGTTTCATTCTTTGGTCTCTTCCAGTACGTCACTCGCACAAGCTCCACATGCTTCCTTCTGCCCCTTTTCTAGCAACAAAATCCAAGCAGCAAATATTAAGTACCTATCTCTGCAAAGCACCACGTCATTCTCCCACCCCTAGTTTTAGAGAGCATGTTGCCTGCTAAACCAGACCCTTAGATGTCCTGTATTTCCAGAACGGTCTTGTAGCTGACCCTCTCTCTCTTTCTGGTTTGGTCCACCTCCCCCTATTGGTTTCACTGTCTCTGGGACCTTTTTTAAATCAAGATCCCCCCTATCCAAGGCTGGCAAGAGGCACCCAGTCAACTCCTCACCTGTGTATCTGAAACCTTAACTATTTCTACAGTTCATGTTTTGACAACCTTGGCCATGCCTTTAATACTCTGATCTTAAGAACTCAAAATGCAACTAAACTTTCTCTCTGGAACTGGAAAACACCCTCTAATTCAATCACCAAGCACATATTCCCAGATGGCTCTTATAGGGTCTGTGGACACAGGGACTACATGGAAAAGCATGACCAAATGATTGCATTAGAATCTCCATGACAAGGACAACACAGGTGCTCCTCCTTACAACAGCTGGTGGAATGCTCCGGAGTGCTTCAAAATGAAGAGGGGAAAGAGAGGCATGAAATAGGCCCCCAGGCCTCATTACAGCTGCCAGTACTACCCGCGTGCTGTTTATAAGGGTTCTTAGGTTGGCCATACTCTGCATCTCCTCCACCTGCCTGGCGACCAGATGTCCCGAACCCTTTCCAACTGAAGAATAAGTACACAAATTGCAGTTCTGTTGCAAACTATGGGAATGAAATCAAGTATCCAAAAATGCTTAAACATTTATTATCATTAAACCATTTGTTTATATGGTAATTACACTTCATTTAGACACCCATGTTATTGTGCTCATTGAGGCGGAGAGAAAATGGATTTGGAGATGGGGAGATAATGGGAGTGACCAGGAGAACAGAGAGAAGGGACTCGCAGAGGCAAGCCCTCCTTTTCCTCCAGACTGTGCTGCTCCGAGGGGCAGGCGGGCTCAGGAGGAAGCATCTGTGTTCCGCAGGATAGGAATCTAGTCTGTTCAGGCTTTGCCAGGGGCTGAAGAACAAACAGGACTGCTGGTGCCACCGTCTGTGGCTCAGGCCAGCCTCCTATAAACTCCATGCCAGCTCTGGAGTCTGTGCCAACAGGCCTGGCTCTTCCCCCAATGTGGCCAGACTGACCTGACGTATTTGCTTTGCTAGCCAGAGCCTCACCAGCAAGGACAGGTTAAGCCTTACAGGACCTGACCTTTTAGGGAACAAAACAATACCAGTCCTGGAATACTAATCACTGACTAGGAAGACCAAGGCAAAGTGGCTGGGGTTCTTACACAGAGCCTAGGAACCCTATATTGGAATAGCAGCCCTGGAATTTAGCATGCTGTGCCAACCAGTGAGGCCCAGAAGGGGAGGCTGGGTAAAGAGAGGGGGTTCAGATCCAGCAGGATCCAGGAGTAAACACTCAATGAGTGACACAAGTAACTCCTTGGCTGGAAGTCAAGAGAGCCGCTGACAGAACAGAGTATCTCCTGACTCCCCAATGCTTCCTTGTCCTGAACTCCCAGAACTGCCTCCTAACCCTGTATGTCTCAGTCCTAGCCACTGGGTATCCAAAAAGAGGAAGCAGAAGATCTGCAACAGCTGAGTGCATTTAACAAAGGGACTAGCCCAGTCCTGGGCTCGAGGCTGTACTGCAGAAATAGAATTAATAGAATGACTTTCTCAGGAGTCAGGGAGAAGGGTTAGGACTATCCCCCTCCGCCCCCTTACAGACTTAACGATCTATTTCACAACAATGTCTAGCACTCTGAAGAATCCCTGGATTTTTTTTTTTTTTTTTTTACAGGATCCTTGATTCCTCAGTCACCTTGGCTACAAATAATTTGCCTAGTGACGCACTAACTCACCAGCTACATAGGAAACTGGTCCTCGTTCTTCACCGTAAAATTTATTTTGCCCAGCTCCTTCCCACTGTCCCCATAATGCTTATAGTTATGAGTCCAAGTGCTCAGAGGTGACTTCACCAAGAGGGGAGACTCCGTTTGCAAAAGCAGACAGTGATGCTCTTGCTTGGCAAGTCCTCAGCTTATATTCGGCTGTGTTCACTACCTTTCTAGAATGAGCCTAGTGGCTTTGCTTCCCGTGAATGATCACAGGAAACTTAAAAGTGAACTCTGGTAGTATCTTCGGGCATTTTAATCACATTCTTCAGCATTTCAGTTTTGGAACATGAAAAAGATCTGGAGATGGATGGTGGTAATGGTCGTACAACAATGTGAATGTTGTATGTGAATGCCATAGAACTGTACACTTAAGAATGGTTGAAATTGTAAATTTTATGTTATGTATATTTTACCACAATAAAAAGATACAAAATCTGAAAACACTGTATAACAAACACATTTCTGTTCACAACAAGTCCACTTTAATTCTGCTTGCAAAAGGATATTTCTGTCACTCTCCCACATGCAAGTTAAACATGGCATACTTTTCCATACTTCCATGTAATTGCATTTGCTATTGCCTATGCCTAGAATGCACTCCTCTCACCATCTGCTTGATGAATTCCTGCTTATTCTTGAAATATCTACTCAGCCTTCTCCACAGCAAAGCCTTGCAGGTCAACTTCCCCTTCCCATATCCTCCCACAGGGTTGCGCCATCAACTTGGTTGCTACAGCTATATGCAACCCTATATTATCACTCAGCACTGATGGGTTGTTTATTTCC